TCTGCTAAGCTTTTAGTGTGGAGGTTTGCTTTAATCTAGTCAGAAGTTGGGCTGAGTTTGATGTTTTCTTCCCATTTGGCTCTAGGTCATTTCACTGGGCTTTGAATTTTCTGTTTGTGCTGATCCCCAGAAAGAATCTGTCTCTTGTTGTCCTCCACTGTTTTTTTTTTTTTTTTTTTTTTTTGCTGGAGGTTTGTTAGCATGGTGTTGGGGAGCAGCAAGGACACTCTCTGATGTTCTGATCATGTCTTCATCTTAGGCAGGCGCTAAGAGCCTGAGTTTTGATGGAGTAGCCTTCACATGTGTTCACGCCTCTCTTCTAGATGTAATGCTGAGCCTAGCACACATGCCTGCCCCCCTCCCCTCAGGGAATTTTGTTTTTCTCTCTCCTTTCCCCAGATGCAGTGGGTTTCCAGCTATGACTTCAGGATATGGGTTTTGTTGTTTTTTATTCTTCACATTAAGACTTTTGTTTACTAGGAGAGATAGGGGAGATGGGCCTATTTGGAATTTCAGCAGTGACTGCTATTTCCCCCTTTTAGCTGGCACTATGGGGCAAGCTTTTTCACAGTCTCACTGATCTTCCCTGGAAACACCTAGTGGGGTTTCTGGAGTAAAGCCTGGGAGAATGCAAGCTCCTTTATGTCTGTGGCCCTCAGGGACTTGACTTTGCACACTCTCATGCTAGCCCTCTCTTAGTCTTTAGAAATTCATTAACAATTTTAAGCTGGATTTTCTTACTGGTCTACATGGCATTTGGTGGTATCTATTACAGGTAAGCAAATACTTGGGTACTATTTCTCCCTCCAAGTGTCTCTCTCTATATTTTAGGATAATTTTTGCCCTAAGACCTCAGTTTCCCAATGATTTTAAGAAAATTTATTTTGCAATTTTTCTCATTTTTTCTCTGTTGTTAATGTGTAAGTGACATTTCTTTCAGCTCTCCAATTGGAACTATAACTGGAAATTGTTCATTTTACAACTTAAATATTATATTCAATTAAAAGTTCCCATTGATTCCCATAAGCAGCACAGACTGTTTTGCTCCAGTGACTTGTAGTGAACAGAGAGTTGGGGCCTATTCTCAGGAACATTTCTCTCCATATTTCAAAAACATTTCTTAGGTTTGAAAGGAAAGTGAGGGAGAAGTAAAGTGGATATCTCTTATATAATAATCCATAGCAATATTGGCCATTGTCTGTTGGCTCAACATGGATGGGTGATAGGTTCAACAGTCTCCAATGACAAGAACTCTCTTCATTGTCAGTAATAAAGATTTGCATTCTTTTCCTATCCTTTTTCTCTATGGGTTATGTAGGAGACTTTTGTAAGCATGGGAATAAAACTTTACAGCATAAACATTTAAAGCATTTGTCCTTGTTAGAGCAAGCTGCAATTTGGGCTTAACCAGATAATTTGGGGTTAAGGTAGCAAGGTTAAACCTTTATCTCAGAGTCCAGTGAAATAGTCACCAGGACAACTGAGGTGTGGATACAGTTGGGAAAATAACCCCAACCCATCTTGCTCACACTTACAGAAGGGCAAGGTTGTGCCTGGATCTGTTTTGATGTTTTCGTGGTGACTGCAGTTCAGTGTTTGCCTGGTGCAGTGCTTCTGATGTTTAAGTCAGCCTGAGCCCAAAACTATAAAACACTCCGACAAAGGGATCTTGCCTACAGGAGCATGCAGTCTTACAACTCAAAAGAAAAGGGGTATCACCACCTGTCTGAACACCCACATTCATTGCAGACACAGGTCACGATTTGGAGGCCAGGGCAATGAAGCTGGAATTGGTGTGAAACATGCCTTTTTAAGGCATTGATGGTAGAGGAAGCAATGCCATTACAAGCCTTGCTCTTTTTTGTCATCTGAGTAAATATTACTAATTTTCTGACATCTTAACGGACTAGTCAGACAATAAGGTTAAGATAAAATTCAAATTCCAGGGATTAGGAAAGCAAACTAATTAAAGATTATTGCATTAGAGCCACACAAACCCGGATTTCAATCTAAGCTCTTCCCCTTACTGGTATATGGCCTTGCATAAATCACTTATCCACTTGGAATCTCAGTTCTGTCATCTATATAAAAGGCATAATAACACCTCTATCAGAACTACTTGTCAGAATTAAAGGAGCGAGAAATATGAAGTAGTAGGCCGTGAACAGTGGTGATTTATATTGCCTCTTAGACCACAGTGTAGAGAAGCGAGTGTAAGATCTTCATGTACTCTTTTCCTCGACTGCAGTGGCATCACAGTTAGTCTGGATCCCTGAGAAACTGTGAGGAACACATCCTCTTCCTTCCCAACCTTTATGAAGTTTGAGAAATAAGCCTTTGTTGTGTTAAGCCACTGAGGTTTTGGGATTGTTAGCTAGCCTAGCATAAGTTTAGCCTAACCTGACAAACACACAATGGGCCTTCAGAATTAAGCAACACATTCATTGGGATGCTTGTTAAAATACACATTGTGTGGGGTAAAGCTATATTGGGAGGCAGGCAATAGAGAGTGGGGATTACTATGGTAAGAGAGAAGTACTCCATTATCATATCAGAAAGTCAATAGATAGTGACTAAATTTAACAAGTCAAGAAATGGCAGTTGCAAGTCATATATCCAATAAGGGACTTGTGTCCAGAATAAACAAAAAAACCCCTCTTACAATGCAGTAATAAAAAGACAATCAATCCAATTTAAAAATGAGCAAAAGATTTGAATACATATTTCTTCAAAGAAGATATACGAGGGTACTTCAAAAAGTTCGTGGAGAAATAGAATTGGAAGATAACATGAGTCTTTCCATAAACATTTTGAAGTATCCTCATACAAATGGCCAATAAGCACATGAAAATTTGCTGAACATCACTAGCCATTAGAGAAATGCTATGATGAGATATCACTTCACATCCACTAATCAAAAATACAGGCCATAACAAGTGTTGATGAGGATATGGAGAAATTAAAAACCTCATACACTGCTCATGGTATTGTCAAATGCCACAGTTTCTTAACAGTTTGGCAGCTTCTTGAAAAGATAAACATAGAATTATCACATGACTCAGAAATTCCACTTCTAAGTATATACCCAAAAGAATTGGAAACATATTTACACGCAAAAACTTGTACACAAATGTTTAGTAGTGGTATGTGCTACAGTATGGACGGACTTGAAAACACAATGGCAAATGAAAGAAGCGAGATGCAAGAGACAACACATTGTATGATTCTATTTATATGAAATATCCAGAATAGGCAAATCCATAGAGACAGAAAGGAGATTAGTGCTTGCCGGGTGCTAGGGAAAGGGGGAAATGGTTAAACCATTGTGTGCTAATGAGTATGAAATTTCTTCTTAGGGCGATGAAAATATCCTGGAAGTAGATGGTGGTGATAGTTTCAGAACTCTGCTAATATACTAAAAACCACTGAATTGTATGCTTTAAAAAGATGAATTTTATGGTATGTGAATTACATTTCAATAAAGCCATTAAAAAAGAAATAGCAGTATATATACATTATTTAGAAATATGGAGATAAATACCAGGAGAAACCAAAAACATTTATGGTAGTTGCCTCTTGGAAATGGACTGGCAAGGCAGACTGCAATTTTTAATACTAAACTCTTTTGCATTATGGGATTTAAAAATTTTGTGTATGTACCCATTTGATAAAAATCAAAATGAGCTAAAAGCAAAAGACACTCACACACATAAACACACACTCATTATAGAGAAAAATCAGAAGAGATTCTGATGCATTGGGTGAGATGGGAGCCAGGTTTCTGCATTTTCAACAAGATAGCCAGGTGATTTTGGTGAACGTGTTCTGTTAGTGGCTAGCAAACTTTGAAAAACACTACTATATCCAATGTTGAAATCATTTAGCAATGAATTGTGGTATGATCCCTCTCTTGTTGTGTTCCTTTTAAAGTGTCAAGTCTCAATCCCTAAATAATGAAATGACATGCTCAAGACTATGCATTCAATCAGAGGTAGAACTTGGCCAAGAACTGACTCAATACTTAATATATTTATTTTTTTTAAGCTTCTATTATGTGCTGTGGGGTACCCAAAATGAGTGAGATAAATTCTTTGCTTTGAGAAGGGCAAGTCTAGTGGGGTGATTGTGATGTCTGAAAAATAAATGTTAAGATTTTACAAAGCGTTTTGTCACATTTCATGTCAGGATTAACACAACTATAAAGTGAGGAGAGGAACATTCTCCACAGTTCAGAAAGGAATACAGTGGAGATTCAACTCACCAGGAGCTCCAGAGAAATCAAAAGGGCTTTGTTATGTTGAGAACTCTAGCCCACCAGCAGCAGCAGGGGTCTTAGGAGGGTGCAGGACTCCAGAAAGACAGCACAACTCCCAGCGGATATGGCATTACTCAAGGGAGGGTGGCACTCACATCTCAGCTGTCTGGACTTGTTTCTGAGCACAGGTGAGACGTCCCTCAGCCTTCTCCCAAGTGTCTGACCCTGTGTTTCTAGTGCAGGGGAGAGGGTAAGAGTCAGCTCAAGGCAACTTCTGCACTCATTGCCACATCTGATCTACTCCACAGTCATGGGAAATAAACTTTATCTCCATTTCACAGATGACAAGGCTGTCCTTTACAGCAATGGGTCTGTAGCAACCTCTAGGTTGATTCCTCCGACTTTGAATCCCAGAGGTAATGCAACTTTTACCTATCATTTTATGTCCTGACATCAAGAATTTTAAGTGTCTCTACTGCCTTTATAAGCTCCCTGGGCAATTCTTTCGATTGCCTAGTATGTATTTTTTTTTCTATTTTATTTATCTTTTATTTCCCTTACGACAAAGGTAACCTGTGTCTTTTAAGGGAAAAAGTACATATGAGGGGGGAAAAAAATCTTCCCCAGTTCCACCACACAGAGAAAACCATTATTTCTGTTTGGTCTACCCAGTTGCATAGTTTTCCCTGCACATGAATGTATTATGTAACTATATTTATTTTTCAAAAAATGGGCTGATACTGTATCGGTGTTCTGAAAAATGTTTTATTATTGTTATGTTACAATGCACCATGAATATCTCTTCCATGCACATGGGCGAAAATTCTTTACTAAAAGAGCGCTGTGGTTGGGTCAAAAATGTGCTGGTAACAAGAGTGACTCCTAAAGGAAATTATCAGCATAAGGTTAAAAGCACAGTGCCCAGCAAATGCCTGCCAGGAAAAGCAGGACTGGCAATATTCCCACCAGAGAAATCAGAATTAAAGGCAAATGATATTAAACATATGGAATGTCTTCAAATTCCTTCTGGCCCATTAAAGGTATGGGATATCGTGTAAGCCCCTTTGGCCTCTCCCTCCGCCCCTCACTCCCCGGACACCCCGTTGGCCCCTTGGAGCGAATGGATCCTGGACATTCTCCCTCCGCCCCTCACTCCCCGGACACCCCGTTGGCCCCTTGGAGCGAATGGTTCCTGGACATCTCTTTGCATCCAGTGAAAACCGCCCATTTTCTGTTTTTTCCTTAGCTCTTCCTGAGCCCTTGACATATCTCCACATTCTCTCATCATCTCCTCACTGCCCAAATGCCTTTCCTGTAAGTCCTCCCGAGAGTCCTTGGGGGAATCGTCCGTAACCCTGTCCGTTTTTCTTTTTGCTTTCCGGGGCACATAATCCTCAGCCGGGCGCTTTTCGGCGGCCCGCGGCTCGCTCTCTGGCTTTGCCTGGGATTCTGGCTGGCCCTCGCCCTGTGACTTGCCCTCATCTTCGCACTTTCCCTGCTTTTCGTGCTTTCCTTCATCTCCCGGCTGTCCCTCATTATCTGGCTGTCCCTCATCCTCTAGCTTTCCCGCCTCGTCTGGCTTTTCTTCCTCATCTGACTTTCCTTCATCTTCAGGCTCTACTTCATCTTCCGGTTTTCCCTCCTTTTCAAGTTTTCCTTCATGCTTTCCTTCATCTCCCGGCTGTCCCTCATTATCTGGCTGTCCCTCATCCTCTAGCTTTCCCTCGTATTCTGACTTCCCCTCCACTTTTGGCTTTTCCTCATCTGCATTTCCTTCATCTTCTGTACTTCCTTCATCTTCTGGCTTTCCCTCATTTTCTAGCTTTCCTTTATTTTCTTTGTAGAGCTTTTCCATGTTGAAAAATTTCCTCCTTTGCCTGTCCTAGGAGACAAAGAGGAGACACAGGACATTGAGGGCTCAGGGGGTGGAACGCAGGTCCAGATAGTACTTGCTTTTTGTTACTTAGGGTTTTTTTTATTTTTTTTATTTATTTATTTTTTATCCTATACCACCATCCAGGTGCATTCCCACACTTACATTCCTTCCCACTTCACATATGTTCACATCTTGCAGAAACTTTCACATGTGCTTTTTCCCTACATTTAAGGGGAGTTGTGCTGAGAAATGTGTAGGAGCAGATTGGTCCCTGACCTTTGCTCTTAGCTATGCTCATAGCAGTTTTAACTGGGTAGTCCCAACTTAAACTGACCTGCAGTAATCCAGGGCAATTTTTTTTTCTTTTTTCCTTTTTTCCCTTGACTGCAGTTGTAAGACGTATAAAACTGCAGACAGAATAGAACGATGGCTAGTTCTCCGATTTCAGAGCTTCTTTTCAAGGGGCATCACAGATGCCACACCTCCCTTCTCTCACTTCCTTTTTCTCTCCTCTATCCCACACCAGCCTTAAAGCACGGTATTCCCTTAGGGTCATGATAGCTGTCATATCTTTTAAAACCACCACAGGGAGGACTGGAGGAAGTGTGGCAGTCAGTGGCCTCCCCAGCATCTGCTCTGGCTTAAGTCACTACTGCTACCAAGGGTTCTGAGGCAGTTACCCTCTCCCACTGACCTGAATTGATACTGCAGGTCTTTTCTTTTCTGGGTTGGTGCCCACAACCACAGACCTGAAGACCTACAGAGAGATGAGACAGATAGTGAATGAGGGATTGAGAAAGTGAACGGCTGCCAAGTGGGACACTGGTTCTTTCTTGACTGTATTTGTGAACACTTTCCCAACTGCTACCACCCCCTTGCCCTTTCCCTTGCCTTCTCTGATTCCCCCTCTACAGCTTCTCCCCAAGAGCCTCCATTTTTCTACAACTGGGCAATGGGAGAGAAAGTTTATTTTCAGTGTTCCTATGTTTATGAATCTCCCTCCCAAATTTCTATCTCATCTTTTCTTGCACTAAAATGAGTGGGTTTTAGGACAGTGATGCTCAGAAGGTAGATCCTGTTTCATTCAGATCTCTGTATTCCAAAACCCCACCCCAGGGCACCTAGGTAGCGTAAAGCCCACCACTTCTCTGAAAATGGTGATAATGGAGGCAGGAGACAAGACAGAAATGTTCAGAGCACTCCTGCCACTCCCTCCTTCCCCACATACACAGAAAGCCCACATTATTCTCAATGCAAAAGACAAATTTTTTTCAAAGTCGGTAAATTTTTTGTCCATGCTAGCTCCTCTCAACCCTCTCTAGTTCAGTAGCCATCTCCTCCACAGGGAGCTCATACCCTGACCAAACCTCTTTCTCTCTCTTCTGTAGAGCATCTCCTCCTCTTGACCCCCTCAGCCCACCATTTCTGGCTCCAAAATGGATGGGGGTGAAGAAGGAATACAGAGAACTTAGTCCTGAACCCGCTGCAGGGTCCACCCTCCGCATCCTGGGGTCACCGACTGCACCTGCCTCCCTTAACCCTGCAGGGATCAGGGCCTTTCCTCCCAGTCCCCTCCTCCCAGTCCCTTTCCTTGGTCCTCCTCGTCCAGCAGTCGTCGCCCAATCGCCCGCTTCCTAGTTCCTAGGAGATCCCAGCTGGTACCCATTCTCAATCCCTGACCCCTGCCTAGCTCCTCCCCCGCCCCCTCCCGCCACCAAGCCCTCCATTTCATGCACCAAACGAGTGGGCATCGGGAAAGGAGTAGAGAGAATCCAGTCCTGTACCCGCTCTGGTCTTTGCCCTCTGCCATCCAGACCCAGGGGTCCGTAGGCGGTGATGGATTTGTAGCCATTCTGGGGAGATGACTCCTTCTCACATTTCCTTCCGCTTGAAGCGCACACTTTTCCAGGGCTTATGGTACTCAGACTTCTCTCTTAACACTCACACAATTTTTTGCACCAAAATGAATGGGAAATGGACGTTGCGGGGGGCGGAGGGGTGGAATCCGGAAAGCAGACCCGATCCTTTGTAGCCTCTGTCCGTTACCATCCCCACCTCAGGGGTCCCCGCCTTGTACCGACCTGCAGGGCTATAGAGTAGTTTTTCCTCTGTCCCTCGGTCTGAAGTCAGCCTTCCTCCACGGAAACAGGGAGCTGGTACCTGGAGGAGAGGGACTTCTGCACACGTCGTCTCCTGATCACGTGAGAAAAACGTCACCAGTGGTCTCGAGTCCCTAGTTCCCCTCCCACAAGCAAAAAGTGCGTCAGGAACCAGCCCACTTCTTCCCTTCACTAGTCACCCTCCTCCCTCCCCCTCCTCACCACATGATACCGTGTCACTCATTTTGGTTTTTGCTGATCCCAGAGGTCAAATGAGGCCCCTTCTACCTGTGGTATGGATTTATCCTTCTGTGGTTATCAGGGAGGGGCTGCATCTTCTCCTAAGACTACTGGGCAGTGGTACATCTCTGAAGAATTTTTTGTTCTTTCTCTTCTTTTATCCCAAAGCACCTACTCCCTCAATCTGCTTTTCCACTCAGCTACGGATGTTCATTCCTACTGTGGTTCAGACCTTCACATAATGGGGAGAGGGTGGATTGTCAAATAGGGAAGCAAGTGATTGAAATAGGGATTTTTTTCTTTTTAATATTTTTTTCAGTTTTATTTAATTTACTCCCCTCAGCATGGGTTATTCTTATAAGCACAAAATTAGATAGAGGTATTCCACTCGAAAGAAAGTATTTAATATAGAGAAAACAACTGACAAGTTTCCATTTTTTTTACTCAGAAGAGAGACCAAATTAAGTTTATAACATAAACTCTTACCATATAGAAAATGAATGCAATTGGTTACATACAAAATATTCATTTAAAAAAATTATAAATAGTTGGGTCTGTTATTTTCTATTTAAACACACACACACACACATTTATTTGATGTTTCCAAACAATTGCTGAGTGTTAAGAATCTTGCTGGAATCTAACGGTTGACAGAAAATTTTAAAATGTTAGTTTCGAAGATTTGGCCCATGCTATTCTTTTTCAGAGGTTTAGCTCTGGGCAAAGGCAACAGCTGTGAGGCCAAGGCAGCTGAGGGTGTGAGGGATGTGGAGATGGTCTCATTCTCCTTCCCTGTCAAGAGTCCCTGCCCCCTCCCATATTCCAGAGCTTCTCATTCCCTGCATTCAGGCACCTGACTGTTGCTCACTCGAAAAATATACATGGATGGGTGACCAAGTGGTGACCTGAGTTAACGCCTTTGGCTCCTCCCTTCCTCCTTCCCCCAAATTCTCATAGAGGTAATTCAGCCCCAGCAGAAAGAGGAAGTGTTCTTGCCACTGGAAACCAGAACAGATCCCTTCTAGACCCCTGCAGCTGAGGGTTTCCAGAGGCTTGAAGAAGCGATTCTGGGGGGAGAGCCCCCCAGGTCTGCCTGCTCTCCATCCTTATTCAATAGTATCTTGGTGGAAGACTCCTGGACCCTGTGTGCTGCCTCCCACTTGATTTAGGAAGTGCAACCTGCTTGGTCCTCACCTTTAAGGCAGTTATGAGGAGCCTAGCTGTGCTGCAGGGTTTCTGCCTGTCAGTTCATATGCACCCTGGTGCCCTCTCAGCCAGATTTCGGCCAGTGCCTAAGGAATTCGGACATGCTGACCACACTGATAGACCTAGACCAGATATTCTCAACTGACAAAGTCTGTGGACCACCTAAAATGATACACAAGGTTGCATATGTTTAAGAAGCAGTGGAGTATGTATACTTTTGTGGAAAAAAAAAGATAGGAACCTTTTTTACCCTAGGAACCTATGAAACACTGATATATAAGCAGGTTGGCATCATAAGAAAATGGTTTTGATTTGTATTTTCCTAATTATTAATGATGTTGAGCATCTTTTCATGTGCTTGTTGGATATTTGTATATCTTTGGAGCAATACTTATTCAAGTCTTTTGCCCATTTTTTAATTAGGTTGTTTGCTGTTGAGTTGTAAGTGTTCTTTGTATATTCTAGGTGTTAATGCCTTATCAGATATATAATTTGCAAATATTTCCTCCTAATCTGTAGGCTGTTTTTTCACTTTCTTTCTAATGTCCTTTGATGCATAAAAGTTTTTAAATTTATGAAGTCTAATTTATCAGTTTTTCTCTTGTTGTTCATGCGTTTGGTGTAATATCTAAGAATTCATGGCCAAATCCAAGGTCATGATGATTTACCCCTTTGTTTTTTCCTAAGAGTTTTATGGTTTTAGTTCTTACATTTAGGTCTGTGGTCCATTTTGAGTTAATTTTTGTATATGGTGTAATTTAGGGTTGTTTTACAAGATTTTAAGATCCTTTTGATAGCAGGACAGAACACACTGTCACAAGGAAAGATGAAAGAAAGAACTTTAAATTACTTACAGCTCCAGACTAGAGAAGGCTGTCAGGCAGGACCACAGAGGGGATTGCATTTGGGTAACAGCAAGTTGGAGCTGTAAGGAGTAGCTTATTTATGGCAAGTGGGGTAAGGTTAGCTAGCTTTCACTGCCTCCCTGTGGACTGGCTAATTTGAACAATTTCTCAGGCTCCAGGGTATAGGGGCTGTCCATAGCTGTCTGTTACCTGGTCCCGTCCCTAAGTGATTAGAGCTGGTTCACAGTGTTCCAGAGTGTGAACACCCTGTAAGGGAAGTGGCTGGGGTGTGGATTTAGTCAGCCATCCGAGAAAAGGAACTGACAGGCCTCTAGCCAGGGCTTCAAAATTGGATCAAGACAGCATTAATACAAAAAATACATAACAATTGACCCCTTGATGTATTGACATCCATTTTAAGCAGCCTGAATAGTAGAGGAGCGTAGGGCATAAGTTGCCTTAAACAGCAAAGAAAACATTTTATTATGAGAATAAAAAGGAGGAAAACAAGTAGAAGTATAGAAAGTCCTTGTAGGCCAGCCATAATCAAGTTCCTCATTTATATGGCATTATCCAAGAAAATAGAACTGAAATTTTCAGGGTATCTAACAATACCTTTGGTGGAGTTGTAGAGTGTGTTAAAAGTATGGGTTTTATATATATATATATATATAAATATATATATATATATATATAAAATGACAATATCTTGGTGTATCTATTGGGTCAAGGTAGCAGGTCTAGTAGTTATGCTATTGGAGGGTATGAACTGATAGTTTAGTATAATATATGTAAAGGTTAGTGATATTTGTTTATAACCAAACAAGAGGCATAGTTATGGTGGTCATGGCTGAAGATGTAGGGCAGGAGGTAGTGGTAGAAAGTTGGAGGTGGGGGGGCAGGAGAAGGCACTGGAAAGTGGGAGGTCATCTCCTCCAGCAGTCGAGGGGTGGTCTAAGAAGCGGTTGCATCTTGAAGAAAGCAATAATCTCCATTAGTCATTAGAATGGCACCAATGCTAATATGTTAATAACCTTTACAAGATTTCTCTTTAGGCATAGGAGTGTAGAAGTGTACATATACCAGCATCATGCTCTAAGTAAACAATGAGCTCAGGAAGTAATAGAATCCCTAATATTAAAGAAAGAAAAGTAATAAATGTCCTGTGTCCAATTTGTCAGTGTCTTGGGAAAGGTAAGATGTGGGCATCACTGGGGTGGTGGTCTCAGTGTCTGGGGTGAATTCTTCTGTGTAGGGGGTGAAGTTATCTCCAAGGTCTTAGACTGGAATGATGTCATTTTAGGTGATTTCGTCTCCAGTGATGAACTTTTGGGCTGGGGCAATGTCAGCCAGGAATGTGATTGGGGTATACTTTCCAAGTTTATACCCACTTGGGTTGATGTGAGTCATGTTTTCATCTCTTGGGTATTACAAAGAGGGTGAGACACTTGAAGAATTTGAAGGCAATATTGGCTTGGGAGCTTGGCCTGAAAAAAATTTATAGTTGTGTTAGATTATATATAACATAAAATTTACCGTTTTAACCGTTTTTAAGTGTACGATTAAGTGGCATTAAGTACATTCATGTTGTTGTGCGATGATCACCACCATCTGTATTCAGAACTTCTTTCATCTTCCCATAATGTACCCATTAAACAATAACTCCCCACTTAGCCCTCTACACAAACCTTAGGCAACCATTATTCTACTTTCCATCTCTATGAGTTTCACTACTCTAGGTACGTTATATAAGAGAAATCATACAATATTTGTTCTTTTTCTATCTGGCATACTTCACTTAGCATAAAATCTTTAAGATTCCCCCATGTTGTAGCATGTGTCAGAAATTTATTCATTTTTAAGGCTGAATAATGTTCAATTTTATAGATATACTACATTTTGTCTATCCATTTATCTATTTATAAACATTTAGGTTGTTTCCACTTTTTGACTGTTGTGAATAATGCTGCTATGGACTTTGGTGTACGAATGTCTATTTAAGTCCCTGCTTTTAATTCTTTTGGGTATATATTTGGAAGTGGAATTGCTGGAGCATATGGTAATTCTATGTTTAGCTTTTTGAGGAATGGACATACTGTTTTGCAAAGTTGTTGTACCATTTTACATTCCTACCAGCAGTGTACAAGAGGTCCAATTTCTCCACATCCTTGCCAACACATTATTTTGTTTTGTTTGTTTTTTAACATTCGCCATACTAATAGCTATAAAGTGATATCTCATAGTGGTTTTGATTGTCATTTCCCTAATGATTAGTGATGTTGAGCATCTCTTCATGTGCATATTGGATATTTGTATATCTTCTTTGGGAAAATGTCTACTCAAGTCTTTTGCCCGTATTTTAATTGGGTTGTTTATTTTTTTGTTGTTGAGTTGTAAGAGTTCTTTATACATTCTGGATATTAATCTCTTTTCAGATATATGATTTGTAAATGTTTTCTTTCATTCTGTGGATTGCCTTTATGCTCTGTTGATAGAGTCCTTTGATGCACAGAAGTTTCCAATTTTGATGAAGTCCAATTTATTGTTTTGTTTTTTTCTTTTGTTGCCTGTGCTTTTGTTGGCATATCTGAGAAATCATTGCCAAATCTAATGTCATGAAGCTTTCCCCCTATATTTTCTTTTAAAATTTTTATAGTTTTAGTTCTTGCATTTGGGTTTTTGATCCATTTTGAGTTAATTTTTGTATATGTTTTAAGGCAAGAGTCCAAATTTCATTCTTTTGCATGAATATCTAGTTTTCCTAACACCATTTGTTGAAGAGACTGTCCTTTCCCCATTGAATA